CCACAGAGTGGGATTGCTAGATGCCAGAATATATATTTTCTTTTTCTTTTCTTTTTTTAATATATTTTATTGATTTTTCACAGAGAAGAAGGGAGAGGGACAGAGAGCTAGAAACATCGATGAGAGAGAAACACCGATCAGCTGCCTCCTGCACACTCCCCACTGGTGATGTGCCCGCAACCAAGGTACATGCCCTTGACCGGAATCGAACCTGGGACCCCTGAGTCCGCAGGCTGACGCTCCATCCACTGAGCCAAACCGGTTAGGACCAGAATATATATTTTCAATACTGACAGCTATTGCCTGATTGTTTACTAAAAACGCTATAACAATTTATATCTCCACTAGTATCAAATGAGAAAATCCTTTGCCACACATCCCTGCTACAGCAGGTTTACCACTTGATTTGTGCTAGTCAGAAAAGAATATTCTATTGTTAGTATACTAATTACTAGTGAGGTTATACAACTTTTCATAAGTTTGTTAAATGTTTTGATTTCTCTTCTGGGAAGTTCTGGTCATATGTTTTATCCATGTTTCTATTGTGTGAACTTTTTCTTAACAGCAATAGTTCTTAAAAATGTTAATTTTTTTATCTGTTATATGTATTTCAAACATTTCTTTTCAGTCTGTGTTGTCCTTTATTTTTGCCATTGAAAAATTCTTCATTATATATCTATGTTTGCTTTTGTAACTTTTAAGTTTCCAATCTTGTATACATAAAAAAAATTTAGGGAGTTTAATATTTTAAGTATTTCACTATTTATATTTAAGCTTTTAATCATATGAAATTTTATTTTGCAAATACTGCTAAGTCCTGGCTCAATTTTATTTTCTTCTAGACAGAGAAGTTATGTCAGTTACATTTACTATATATGTGCCCTTATTTCCCATTCGATTGAAATATACTGTCTCATGTACGTATTAAATTCCTTTATATGAACGCTTCTGGTCAAGATTCCAGAGTAAGTAAATGTGCACTCAGATCCTCCCACAACCACATCAAAATTACAACTAAGTTGTTCTGTAACTTAGTTGTTCATCATTCAGAACTGCCTGAAATCTACCTGAACAGAAGTCGTAAAACTAAGGATATAAAGAAGCCACACTGATTACTATGTACAGACTATATATATATACACATATACTATATGTATAAGAGAATACGCTTATTAAATCAAAGCCACTTTCATTTCATAATATAAAAGAAAATAGTAAAACTTTTAAAGTTTTACTAATAATCTCTTAATAAAATTTTTCCTCAGAACAAATGAGTAATAATTTTTTTTCAAGAGTAAGGTGAAACATAAACTCATGACAGCTATATAATTCAATTATTATTTAATGTACTGGTATTTTCCAATACAAAACCACTAATCCTTGTGAATCATCTCAACCTAGGAAGGGAAAAATTTTATTCTACTTCATTTCTCCATTATGTTTTTTACATGTCTATGTCTACTTCATATGAGGATAAAAATACTATATAAAAACACTTAAAAGGCAAAAATTTTAAACATGTGTAAACTCATGTTTTCTATAGGTCTGTACAATTTTAATATATTTCTATAATCCATTGTAGGGATAATTTAGAAATAGAAGAACTACCTCCTTAAATTGATTCCACATACTAATGATCATATGCTTTGGAAAATCTTTTTATAGAAAATATTAAGTCACTGTAGTTGCCAAAATAATGGTCTATATGTTGATATTTCTCAGTTCCTATTAATAAATCTGCTTTATAATCTTTGCTAAAAGTATATTTTTCTTTCTCCTCTATTTTTCTGAATGGCCTCATTACAAATTCCAGCTTTTCAATACCACCAATTCTCATTTCAAATTCTACTCCTTTCTCCAAACCTGTTACTCAATTTTATAAAATGTCTTCAGTCTTCTTTATAAAGTACAGGATGGGGCAAAAATAGGTTTATAGTTATTCATATGAAAATAATACAATCATTAATAAATAATAATACAAGAATAAATGTGTTTCGTGTACTCACAACTGTAAACCTACTTTCCCCCACCCTGTATGTACTAGGCCCTCTGCATTCATGATCTAATTTAATAGTATCTATGGATAGATTTAAACATGAGGGAATTTAAGCTTAGATTAAGTAAACTGTCCAAGGTCACAAAGCTTAGGAAATCTTTTCTAGTAAAGTCTGTACTATTTTGCTTTACATTTCAATACCACTTAGGTTAGCCCTGGCCAATGTGGCTCAGGGGTTAGAGAGTTGGCACGCAGACCGAAGGGTGATGGGTTTGATTCCCAGTCAAGGGCACATACCTGGGTTGCAAGTTTGATCCCTTGCCCCAGTAGGGGTGTGTGCACTGATGTCTCTCTCAGGTTGATCGTCTCTCTCTTTCTCCTCCTCCTCCTCCTCCTCCCTCCCTTTCACTCACTCGAAAAATCAATGGAAAAAATATATCCTCGGGTGAGGATTCAAAAAAAAAAATACCACTTAGGATTTAAATATTTTCACATAGGTTATCTACAGTTTAATCTCACTTAAATTCACAGTAACCTTGACAGGAAGGTTGCTAAGTATAAAAACCTTAATCCACACTCCCAACTTTACTTAAAAGAGCATGTAACTAAAGTGGCAGAGTTGAATGATGATCCTGACTTTTAGTTGAGTGCTATATCACTTGTCTGTACAACCCACTTTTTCATTAAGTACAACTCATTCTCTTCCCTTCCTTTCACTTTCATCCAAATGTCCTGTGAAAATAAACTCGTCACTGTATTAATAAAGTCCATCCGAGGTTTATATCTACTGTATTGACCATGACTTGGATGGTTACTAGCAATTTATATTTAAAAACGAATAGTGCACAACCTCAGAAGGAACTATGATCTGCAAGAACTTTGAAAGTAGTTTGCATTCCTTGTCCAGTTGTCAAACACTCATTCAATAAACAATTTACTGTGTACTTATCAGGAACATCAGCATCCTAGTGCTGAAGACACAACAGTAGAGACACTGTCCTTGAACTGCTAGGAGCTTTACGGTTTACTAAGTAACAGCCCAGAAAACAGTACTTAAATGTGCTAGAAGTGAAAACTGAGGAATAGAAAATATTGTGTAGTAGTATGTGGTCTCCAGGCTCTCTGCCCATAGGGAAAGAAAGCATTCTTGATGGTGGCGATAATCTATAAAAGCAATGAAATATTATACCTCAGAGTAAGCACATAAGAGGTATTAGGAACCCTAACACAAAAATCCCTGTGTGCCATTTAATATTGGACTATAGCACAATTCCCTAATACATGTTAAGATTTTTATATGTAATACTAATTAACTGATAAAGCTAGTCTAATGACTTCCAAGCTTCAAACTACCTGTTTGTATGTGTAAACTGTATATTATATCAGTGGTCTTTTTCAATTTAAACTTTAATAGCAATTTAATTATCAATTCCTACTGCTAATCTTTCTGATTTCATTAGTGGTCTAAGACTTAGACTCTAAGTTATTGCTTTAATAAGTTCCCTAAAATTGGGGGAATTGTGAAGTAAAACTGCAGAGTCATTCAGCCTCTTTCATACTGACATTCCCCCAACCAGTACTCCTTGCATTTTAGCTGGTTTTCTTTCCCATTTTGGTCTTATCCAGACAGGACTGGTTTGAACCTCTAGGAAACTTCAGGAATTTGTCTAATTTGGTGGAATGTCACTGAAAGAGGGAATCTTATTAAATCACTATTACTCTAGAATTTAACTTTTGTTTTCCTCAATTAAAATAAGACCAGATAATTGTGGAGAAATTGGAAGATACAGAAAACCAAAAATAAGTCAGTCACATTCACTACTCAAAGATGATTCCATCTTTCTCATTTTCCAGCTCTTTTTTAATGGATTCTTCAATTATATTGGTTAGAAAATTAAAAGGTTTAACTGAGACTATTATTTTTCAGATTTAAAAATTTACATTTTAAAATCAAAATTATAATTTCTGCTAGGCCTTCCAATTTAAAAGAACCACGGGACCTTCTATGTTTGCAGTATAAATAAAAGAGTTTAAACCCCAAACTGAAAAACACTCTTCCCTAAAGCACATTGTTTGGGGTCAAAACATTGGTTACTACATTGCAAATGACATGGGAGTACACCGGGTTGGGCAAAAACCTCAGCAAAATAATTTCTGTATTTTCACAAAATACTATTCATCAAAATCTGAAGAGGTCACCTGGAGTTTTACAAATGGGGAAAGCTAAGGAGGGGCATAAGTGCTACTTAAAATGGATTTGCTGCTGGTCAAGGAATTGCTTGGGAGTGGCAAGTAAGTGCGATATTAGGGAGAAATGGCAAAGGAAAACGTCAAAGGCATAAAACACGAAGTCAGCAGCCTCTCGACTTCACCTCCTTTCCTTTCAGTTTATGGTGAAACACATTTGATTCAATTATATTCCAGCCCAATTAGTGTCCTGAAGAACTAGGTCCCTTTAGTGAAACCTAATCACTTTCCCACAAACCAGCCAGTCTGGCATCACGACACCGAAACACCATCTTCCAACGCCTCCCCATTCAATCGCGGCTGTCGTTACTTACACCTCCTGTTTATGCTTTCAACTATCCTCTGCCTTACGGCACCATAAAATCAGAGACCAGAAAGCTAGAAGGCTTGCTTTTGCCCTTCCAAAGCCTGTGAGCACCTACAGGACGCCTCTTGCAAGGCTATCAGCTAAAAGCTCAGCATTATTGAGAAAGCACGTTCGGAAGCAGGCTTTGCAGTGACTCTGCAGCCAGGGCCACACCAGTGTCATTCCCTCCCAAGCCAGTCTCACCGGAGACGCCTCTGCCTCCAGGGTTCTTCCTACCTGCCCGCTCCCCAGCCGCAGGTGGAAGGGGAAGACGGGCAGGGCCTCTACCAAAGAATGGGCTCTGGGGATTGGGAACTACAGGCTGCTACAGACCCCCAAGAATGGCTGAGTCAATCCCACGACCCGAAGCCCCACAGACTCCGAAGAGGGAACCATAATGGCCGCACTCACCCCCAAAGCCGAGAACAGTGGACGTCTCAACCCGCGGGGGCGAAAACAGTGGGGGAGCGGGGGTGAGGAGAACGGGCGAAATGGGCTCCTCGTCTGTGCAGGATGACAGCGGGAAGGAAGCCCAGACCCGCTGAGGCCGCCGTTCACGCTCTCCCTTCTCTCCCTCCTCCCACCCCTTCTCTGATCCCCACCTGCCGCCGGTTACAGGTCGCGGCTCACCTGACACTGCGCGAGACGCAGAAGCAGCACCGACCACGGACCTCCAGGCTCGGCCACTGAGGGAGGGGAAGTCTTCAGCTGCAGAGGGCGGGGCGGGTCTAGACAGTCACGTGACCCTGAGCTCCGCCCTGCCTCCACCGGGCTGGCGCGTTACATCTTAGGGGCCTGAATTTTTGCGGATTGTTTGAACGTTAATTTTGTTGCGATTAAATCCTAAGAAAAAACTAAAAACTCCCATAAAGGTTATGTTGTAAAGTGCAATCTAGAAGGCATGGGTGGAATGGGTTAAAGTGTACTGCTAAGGAAGTGACGATGCCCCACGATCTACAGACCGGAAATGGCGATAGAGTTCCATCCCGGCGGCGCCCGACTGCGAAACCTCAGGCTTGGAGGTTTGGGGCAATCACGTGACCTCAAAGCTTGCTGGGCTGAAGCCAAGTTACCGGGCCAATTACGTTGACTCGTCTTTAAAACAAAACAAAGCACCTTATTTACTTTGAGTTTTCCACAGACTTCTTTACATTTAGAGGAACCTACTTTATAAAATCGTATTACGAGAAAGGAGCTTTTGAAAGTCATCAGGGAGACTATCAACTGGGAAGAGCCGGTTCGGGGAAGGCTGATCTTACTGAAGTGGGAGAGGTGAGGGAGGGGCGGGAAAACCCGGATTTTACCGCCGGGGCCTACGGGGGCCCCCCTCACGAGTAGTGTGGTAAAGGATGGGAGGAGGAAGATGACGCAAAGGGCACAGCCCACTAGAAAGATGGCGGTCCCAAAGTGGGGGAGGGGAGAAGGGTACGCGGAGGCCAGCAGTGCGCCTGCGCGGGAGGCGGCCTACGCGCCGGCGCGCAGAGGGGGCGGGGTGAAAGGTCACAACGCGGCGGCGGGTCGGGCTGGCGGCGGCGGCGGGCGGGAGCCGAGTGCTCCGTGTGCACGTGTGGAGAAGCGGCGGTACCAGCGCGGCGGCGGGAGGCAGTCC